ACCAGCCCTTTGCCACCGCCTGCCTGCAGACAAGCAGAGCCAGCCCACAGTCACGTAGGTAGGCTGGCTAGAAAGTCGTTCAAAACATGGGTGTTGCTTTGCACAGCCCGTCCTGAATTGGCAAGGTCACCTTGCCACCAAGGAGACCTTCTCGGTGGAGGCTTTTGAATGGCTTCAAAACCACTGTCACAGCGATGCAAGGACAACGCAGCTGGGGGCTGCCTGCTGGGGTGCAGGTCCACGGGGCTGCTGGGCATCATGGATGGGCACCTTCCTTCAGAAAAGGCAAAGCACTGGGACCCGGAGTAATGTGATGCTTCCAGTGAAGACCTCTTTCAGATCTCCTCCCTGGGCTGGAAGTGGTTTCCCTGGGATTTCAGAGTCTCCAGGCCACTTACCTGCTACACACAAAAAAATTTACATTTCAACAACTCTCCCTGGAATAAGTCCCGTCTCCTTGCTGAGAGAATTCAAGGTAGGTTTTTCATCTTCATGCCCTCTTTTTCCCCTCCTATTTTAATAATTGCATATTTGGATGAAATCTCCTGGCTCCGATATTGCAGAGTAATTATCTGCTCACCACAAGCTAGCCAAGCTGGGCTGAGCTGTTCTTGCTCATGCTGCTCCTCAGGAAGTTTTCTTATGTGCCATGTTTTTCTCCTCAAATGGCTGAAGATCACAGCGATACAAGTGGAGCTTCACGGCCTGAAGCTGGGCACCAGCAAGGAAGCGTCCCACATTTATAGCTTTATCCAGCTGCTCTCCTCGCTTGCCCATCTCCGCAACCGTTGTGCCGTGCTGGTAAGAGTTTGCTGTGCTTACACCAGAATAAAATACAGATTCACCGTGGGCAACAGGACAAGGAACAGGCACTTCTTCTGTTTGTACTTGCAGAGCGGGCAGCTTAGGGTTAAAAGTGTAACTGCTCTAATGACAGTTGATTCACAGAGTTACGTCTCCATTCCACACCTCTCATGCCCAGAAAGCATGTTCTCAGCAGACAGGAGTGCCACGCGACTGCCTTGCAATGATGCCGTGACAGCCTCAGAAGTGGAGGAGAACTTAGATTTTGGTTTTTTTTGTCAGGCTGATTGCAGGAGGAGTTTGTGACCTGCCTGGGTTTCTGCAAGTCTCTGCAGGGTCCTGCAGCTCCAGGGACTTGCTGGCCCTTGCCACGGTGCCTTTATCCCCACCTCTCTCAGCATCCAGGGTGGTCTGCTGGGCACTGCTTGGTTCAAACCCACCGTGCCCCCAACCACTCCGTCTCAGAAGGCCTTCCCCATTGCCAAATGGGGCCAAAGCTGGCAGCTTCCGGGTGGCAAAGGGTGGGATTTTGGGGTCGGTCTTACTTGATGTGCGGGCGGGGTGTGTGGGATGATGCTACAGCAGATCTCAACTAGAGGACACAGCAGTACAACGCCCGTCCCGTGTTCCTTGCCCTGTCCAGTGGCCTGTGGGCCAGCAAGCACTGAGGCTCGGTATTCTAATGAGGACTTCTTGCAATAGGCACAGGGCATGGCAGCAAGTTCTTGTGGCACATAGAAAACCATTAGGCAATGAAAATGACCATTTACTTCATCAAAAAACCCCTTAACACTGAAGGGTGAGCTCTTCCCTGGTTTATTAAAATAGTCTGAAAGCTTAAAAAAGTTATTTCAAGTCATTGGACAACACAAACGTTAAGGTCACTTTCATCATAGACAGGCAGCGGTGGGGAAAAACAGGATCTGAGCTGTGGCATTTGGACCTGAAGGAGACCGGGTGCCCCACACTGCGTGAGGAACACAGCCGTGCCCCAGCTTCACATTTTGCCATTGAAATGCACACTGGAAGAAATGACAGTAACTTGTGTGCCAGTGACACAACGCGGTGAGACTCCTACAGCCAAGCTGCGCCTACAAACGGGCTTAAAACGGTACACGAATTACCAGGGTTCCTCCGGGCAGGTGGCCTGGGGTGTGAAATCCCACGTCGCATTAGCCTTTACGCCATTTAAATTTTCCATCCTTGCTACGGAAGGATCGAAATGCCAGTTCCATCCTTAAGCCATTTGAATTTTCCATCCTTTTCATGTCCTCATCCATGCTTCTTAGGCAAAGTTGGAAATGGGGCTCTCGCGGGCATCTGCCGGCGGCCACCAGGCAGCTTGGTGACCCCCACATCTGTGAGGACATCTTCTGTCTGCTCCAGGGCTGGCGGAAAGGAGGAGCGTCGGCAGGGCTGGGGCACGGGATAGCTGTGTAAGCAAACGCATACGGCAAGAAGTTATCGCTTGAGAAAGGAAAGCGTCCTCTGCGGAGCGTAAAGCTGGCGTTCTCCAGGCAAACGAAAGAGAAATGCTCGTCTGTCTCCCATCGCTCGGTGATGGCTTTCATTGCTGGGGGTGGTCACAGATATATTTAATTAAGTAGTGTTGGCCCAGAGCCAGGCAGGAGAAAGAGAAAGCAAGTGAGGATGTGATGGGAGAGGAGCGAGGGATGGGGAAGCTGAGGAGGACAAGGACAAGGCACAGACCTTGCCGGCCAGGACATTTCCAGGGTGAGCCCCCAGAATAAGGAGAGACTGCTTCAGTTCTACTTTTCAGACGTTTTATTATAAAGAAAGGTAAGATAAGCATTGTGAACCGAATGTGCCGGGTGCGGCGAAAGCAGCACCGTCAAACAAAATAAAAAATAAAAAAAAACCAAAAATGCACCTTATGAGAAACTGTAATTATGGTCTCTAATCTTTCATAAATAGACAAAAATCATTGTCAGCAATTTTTAAATAGATGGACATATGGCAGAAAAAATATAATAATGCCATACAACATGGATATAAATTGTCCATTTCTTGCTGTACAAATAATAGAAACAAGTTTGGCGGGCTTTTTTTGTTGGTTTTTTTATACACATCTCCCTTCTATGTATAACTAAAAAATGTGCTACAATTAATATAAAATGCTTTTACTATAAAGTAAACTACTAATTTTTTTCACAAAAAAATCTTAAAGATGTCTTTAGCACAGCTCTAAAACACTTAGTAAACTACTTACAACTATCCAACAAATTATATTTTCATGATCTTTTTCACATTTTCCCTCTCATATTTTGCCTTCTTCTCTCTCCCCCACCTACCTAGCAATAGTTTTTATTTATTTTTTGTATTTTTTTTCGCCAGACATCCAAGGCCTTTGCATGTACAATATTCACACAAACTTCACATTTTCTTGCACAAAGTTTAGTGCTGTTAGCAAGTCGAAAGAGTGCGTCCTCCTACTGAGCTGGCCTAAAGCTGTCGGACACCAGACCGGGGCCTACGCTGCGTCTAAAAGCAGTTCACTAGGAAAACAGTCTGTAGCTAAGCTGATGGCAAGCAGAAAAACGGTGTCCTTCGTCTATTTTTTTTTTGTTGATTTTGTATATTTATTTTATTTTTAATTTTTTTTAATTTTTTTTTTTTTGTTCTTCACGATTTAATGAGGTGTTGGGCTTCCACGGAAAGTAGGCTTTAGAGTTCAAAAATCAGAAAAGAAAACTGCTCTTAGAGCCTGGAAACGAAGCCAGCGACGAGGTGCAGTGGTAGCTCTCTCGCCCTCATGACTTGCTCGGTGCCCCTCCGGGTAGTCTGTAAGATAGACCCTCTCGAGTGTCCTTCGTCTGAGCCTCCTCGAAAAGAGATGGGGAGTTTTAGGTGAGGTAGAGTGCCTTGTCCCTTGGCAGCATGCTGTAAGAGAAACGAGAGGCAGAAGGTGAGGCGGGCAGGGAAACAGCCGGCAAGTCGCCCGGGCAGCCGATATGAGCATTTGCGTGCCCGGTCGCACACCCGGCTTCAGCCGTGCCGTGGTTTTTATGGCACCCGTCATGCAAAACATGAAGTGGTCTGCACCAAGGGGCGGGTGCACGGAGATGGACCAAGCAGAAGGCGCTTAAAAGTCAGAGTCTGGGGCAATTTTAGTTCTTCCTGAATTTCAACAATATGGGCTAAGACATAAATTCATATGTCATGAGACCTAAATCCAAAATCACAGCCAGGTCGGATGGGGCTCTCAGCAGCCTGGGCTGGTGGAAGATCTCCCTGCTCATGGGAGGGGGGTTGGAACCAGATGATCTTTAAGGTCCTTTCCAACCCAAACCATTCTATGATTCCAAATTCCTCCTTGCGGCTTAAGTTTTGCTCTTTGGGGCTGCAGGGGAGGGCCAGCTCCAGATTTCCCTGATGAGCACCGGAGTGTGATGCCGGTACCAGCTCCACCACCGTGCTGTGGAGCGCTGTGCCTGGGACCAGCCCCTTGGCCACCGGTCCCCTTCTTCAGCATACACTGTCCTTAGGCCAAGCTGTGGAGATTTAGAAAATGGACACTTGCTTTTGGATAAAATGTGTCATTCTGACAATGCATAAGGAGTAGGGGGTCTCCAAAATATGATTCAGGGGCTTATGCCTGAAGATGCCTGTGGGTGTCCAGGAGGATTTACCGAAGTTTGATGGCTGAAGAGCATGGGAGCAGGAGTCATCACCTGCTCAATGTCTCTCTTCTCCTCTCCCAAAATAAGTACAACTAGAAAAATTAATAATCAGCAAGTGAGGGGGAAAAATGCTTGGAGACAGCAGGATTAGTGGGTCTTTCCTATGGGTCTGATGAAGACAGCAGCAAGTACAAGGAACCCAAGGAAGACTGTGGTGCTGCCTTACTTGTAGGAGGCTACAGAGGAGGGCTGGTGGAACAGCAGCCAGGCTGCGTGCTCTGCACAGCCCTGACCCACCAGATCTTCAACTGATCACATTACTGAAGCAATAACTTTGATTTCATAGAATCATAGGTTGGAAAAGACCTTGAAGATCATCAAGTCCAACCATCCACCCAACTCCACCGTGCCTACAAA